ATCAAACTGATCGTTATGTTGAACGATTAATATCTACTCAACTGTGATAGGATTTAGTCTGGATTCCCAGGAGGGAGGGGCTGCTTTCCAGAGAGCGAAGAGGCAGCGGAGCTTGAAAAGTTTGGTGGGCAGAAAGAAGCTTAAAATAGTTTCTCCCTAGCTTTTCCCAGAGTATATCTGTAGTTGTGCAAATAATTACTGTAGTCTGACAAGATTCTGTCCAGAGGTGAAGAACAATAACAGAAACTGCTCTTGAGTAACTCCATGTGTAATTCTTGGGACATCTATAATTTCTCTATCTTGTTTTTTAGTAAGATAAACAACCCCTTTTACACCAGAGCCCAAAAACTAGATATGTAAAAAACTTATTGACTAAAGCCATGCTGGGTGGCAGTTTTCAATATCCATGGGCCAGCTGTTGAAACTAGATTTAGCTATTTGACATGTGTTTCCATCGGCTGTCCTGTACGGCAAGTATAAAAAGACTCCATTGGCAGAAAGACTCTGCTCCTGTGGCTCAGGAGAGGTGGAGACCATTGGACACATACTCCTTCGATGTTTCTTCTATAAAGCTATTGATTGGTATCCTGGTCATTTTGAAAGGATTTATCTCCAGTGGCTGCTTAAGGACGAGCAGGCAGTGATCACGGCGCAGGTGGCTAGATTCTGTGCAGCAGCACTGGGGATTCACCAGAAACATAAACAAACATTTAGATATTTTTAATAATCTTTTATAATCAATTTTATTATGTGTTTTTATCCAGGATTAGACTATAGTCAATGTATTCTTATTGACAGGTCAGTATGATTCAGTTTTTCTGACACTAGCTTGTTTTTTTTATACTGTCTGTAAAACTAGGCAGACTTTGGTCACCTATTGATTTACAGCATTAATGGTAATATATTGCTATGTCTTCTTGTGTTGGTTCTGTTTAGTTTTGTTTTATTTGAATGTTTAATTTATGTGTTGGCATTTGACTGTAATAATAAATGGATTGATTGATTGATTGAGCTATTTTCTTATACCTTTCCCTTATTTCATGACCTGATTTCTATAGTTTACTTTTTTTTTCTTGCTGGGCAGCCAAAAATGTTTTGATCCTGTCAGTGTACCAGCACTTTTTCACAGCCAGCAGCGTGCAACCGACAAAGGTATGTCCAGCGCTAAATGAAATCAAAAACCAACAGGTGGTAGTACAGATTATAGCCCAGCATTGCCTCCAAGAACAGCAGCCTACTTCTGATACTCCTTCTCATGCCAAAATATCAAATAAAATTAATGCCAACACCAGTGGCCATCAACAACTTCAGGCACAGAAAAGGGGTAGTGGGGGAGGGAGAACCAATGTTAAAACTCTGGTTTTAATTGTACAGCACATGCTGGAATAGAAGAAAAGTACAGCTGCAGCTGCTATTCTCTGATACAGCCCCATCTATTTTACAATGTATTATCATGCTCTAAGTTGCAAGCTGAGAGTAAGGAGCTTGAGTCTTATATAATAACCAGCAAAATAGCTATACAAAAAGGTATCCATATTAAAGGGATATAGGTTCTTACACTCCATAACTGTCCATAACATTAGCGTGTTGTATTACAACATACCATGGTTGTCTCTCTTCTTACCAATTCAATTTTGTGAAAATAAAATGCAGAGGAAATATTTATTCCAGTGACTCCTTCAATAATGACAGCGATAATTTATTTCATTCTATGATTTGCTAATACGCTAGAATGGCTTGGTCAAAACGTCACAAATATATTCACATATTCCGCCTAATAAAGCAAACATGTTCTTTGTAGCATGAATTGAAGGCAAGTTAAAGCATTACACAAATCCTTAGACTTGAATTACATAAATTAAAAACTAAAAGTAAATATTAAAAAGAAGAATCTCAAAGAAAGTATATGGTATTGATTTGCTCTGATTTGGTGATTTGAACTTTGGCTAATGTATGTATAGGAGTACCTTAAAGAAATAATATATCAAATAGTATATTAAAAGAAGTTATATCGTACTCTTTTTTTTATTATTGAAAATTTTTAAATTTTACAAAAAGAAATTCCCTTCCCCAAACCCTCCCAACCCTCCCCTACCCTCCCCCGACCTTCCCAGAGCTGAATAAAGGCTTAATTAAAAAAAATTTTTAAAAAAACCTTAAAACACATGTAAACCATAAGCAAATCTAAATACATTAATTAAACAGCTTATAAAATAGTTAACAACAATATATAAAAAGGATACAAGAAGAAAGAAAAAAAGAAACAGAAAAGAAAAATTCAAATAAAAAAAAGAAAAAAAAAGTTAAAAAAAAATATCTATGGAATATCCTAAAGTTTAAATATAAATTATTCAAAAACTAAATAATATTTTTTTATATCCAACTTGTATTGTATGAAATCTATCCATTTTTTCCATACCAAGAAGTACTTCTCTTGCGATTGATCTTTCAAGAAAGCCGAAATCTTTGCCATTTCCGCTAAATAAGAAACTTTTAAAAACCACTCTTGCAAAGTAGGCAGAGATTCCTTCTTCCAACATTGCCCTACTAACAACCTGGCCGCTGTAATTAAATTTAACATCAATATAGTCTCTTTACTATCACAATCAGAAACAATACCTAACAAAAACAATTGTGGAATAAATTTTATCCTCCTTCTAAAAATTCTTTGAATATTCCACCATATCTTAATCCAAAAAGCTTTTATATTTTTACATGACCACCAGATATGATAATACGTAGCATCCAAACATTCACATCTCCAACATTTAGGCTGCAAGTCAGGATACATACGAGACATTTTTTGTGGATCAAGGTGCCTAATATATTATTAAAAAGCTCCCTTAAAGGTTGAATCAACTCTTGTACCAAAGTTTTATAATAAATAGACGTCAATCCATCAGTACCTGGTGCTTTACCCAATTTTAATTCTTTAATTACTAACTCAATTTCTTCACTAGTAATCAGACCGTTAATTTCTTGTTTCTGGTCTTCTGTTAGTTTAGGAAAATTAGCATCTTTTAAATAATTATCTATATCTAAAGTCTGTACTTTAGTACTCATATATAATTTTTGATAATAATCTAAAAAAGATTTCTTAATCAACTCCTTCTGATATACCAATTTACCATTATAATTTATTTTATCTATAATTCTCTGTTTCTGCTTCTTTCTCAGTTGGTAGGCCAACCGTCTCCCTGGTTTATTGGCATTACAAAATGTATTTTGTTTCATATACAGTAAATTAGTTGCAGTTTGATCAGCCATCAACATGTTAAATTGTGATTTAAGCAATTTTATAGATTCCTTAATCTTCTCATCTGTAGAATTTAAAATCAAAGCTTTTTCTTTTAATTTAATCTCATCTTCCAACTCCTTACGTTTCTGCATGTGCTTCTGTCTATAGACCTTATTCATTTGTATCAAAATCCCCCGCATATAAGCTTTACCTGCATCCCAGACCATTGACATTGAAGTTCCCTTATACATATTTAAAACAAAATAATCCTTTAATTGCTCCTTTAATTTTTGAACATTCTTTTCTTGTCTAAATAAGTTTTCATTTATCCTCCAAGATCTCCTCTCCTCTTTTTCATTAACCAATTCCATCCAAACTGGGCTATGGTCCGTCAATGTCCTGGGGAAAATCTTGACATTCTTTACCCTAAAATATAGATCCGTTGTAATTAAAAAAAAGTCAATTCTTGAAAAAGATTGATGTCTGTCCGAAAAGAAAGTAAAGTCTCTCTCCTCCAAGTTATGTTCACGCCAATAATCTCGCAACTCCCAGTCCTCTTTCAGATCAAAAAAAGCTTTATATCGTACTCTTATATGGTATATGAATTATTATTGAATCCAAGGATGATGAAGGGTATCAGTGTAGAAACAGGCAGACTGTAAGTTCTAGTTCTGCCTTAGGAATGAAGTCAGCTAGTTGATCTTGGGCCAGTCACTCTTTCGCAGCCCTGCAGACAATCGCAAACTACTTTGAAATCTTGCCAAGAAATGTCTATGCTGTCTCCAGGAGTCAGTATTGACATATGCTGTCAAATAACATTCCTAAAGTTTGTGTTCACATACAGTAGATGAATACATGAATACATAATCTATACATTAGTCTTAGGGATAATATTTAGCTGAAACCTACAGTTCCAAACTCTGGAAACCTGATGGAACCTACAGGTCCATCTATCATCCCTGCTTGTGAGCTTTTGCTGAAGGAAATGTTTCCTAGTAATATTTTTAGATAGTCCATAACAATGCTCTGAATGTTGCTTCAAATACTGTAGATTATAAAAAAATGTAACAATGAACACATATTAAAATTACAGAAAAGTTTAGTGCTAGTTTGCATAACTCCAAACTGTGGGCCAGTTTAAACTCTGAGAAAAGATCTTCCATAATTGGGGCACTGTTCCCAAGCAATGTGTGCTGAACAAACACATGCTTTCGGTTAAGATTGGTGATCCATTCTACAAAATTCTAGCCACAATTTTGCAGAGCTCAAAAGCCACAGGCCTAAAACACTCCTCTTGAGTATTTCTGGCATAGATGGTTTGCTCTTGTTTTAAATATTTTTTTAATGATAGTTTGCTAATGAAAGGAGGAGACAACTGCTCTGTTCTATTTCCACAGAATCTAGAATCATTATTAATGTGGTCCTGAAATGGGACATCTAAGTTCTTTTAGATGTTGTTGGACAACAGCTACCAGCCTTCATTATTGCTTGCAAATGGCCGGGCCTGCTGAATATAGTGCCAAAACAGTGCAGGCACAGATGGATGTTACTAGGTTTGTAATTGGCTACAAATATTATCCAAAGATATGATGTCTAGCTGCTATTCTAAATCCTAATAACATTTAGTCTTCTCTCTCTGACATCTAATTGTTCTAGAATTCTTTGTATCCACAAACTCTTATTTCTAGCATTGTCACAATAAACCTATGGGTTTCTGCCTATTCTTAGAACTCTAGATTACGGCCTTGTTCTGTCTTCAACAAACTAACTCCACAAGCAGAAATCCTGTCTCAGCAAAAGCACAAGGATCTGAGATTCTGGCAAGGTAATTGGGTTTTTAAAACACTGATTTGTTCACCGATAATGATGATGGCTCGGAATTCTGGGAAATGAAGTCCACATATGTTAAAGTTGCCTGGTGGAGAGGCACTGATCTAAAATAATGGACTCATTTGGCTAATTTTCCATTTAACCTGCCTAAATTGATAGCCATTTCAAATTTTTGCCACAGAATATTCTGCATTGGACAGACTTGTTGAAAAAGAAATTCCTCTTATCTGGAGTCCCTATTATTCAGTTTCACCATACTAGACTTTCCAGTGTTACAGGAGAAGAGGAAAAAAATCTTATTCATTCTGTACACGTCAGATATAATTTTATACACCACCCTCACATGCCTTTTTGTCCAGAACAAGCTTCAAAAGCTGTAACCTTTTCTCATAGTAATTCTCTTCATAATTTTATTTATAATTGCTTTTTTTTGTATCTTGTCCAAGATGGACCAAAATTTGAACATGGAATGAAGTATGAAGTGGAGATAGAAAACTGCCATGAGTTGATCTAGTCTAGTATGCCCTAGCATGCTGGCTAGAGAATTCTGGGAGTTGTAGTCCACACATCTTCCAAGCTGCCTCTAGATTACAGGTAATCCTCAACTTACAACTAAATTGGAACCAGAGCTTCCATTGCTAAGCAAAGCAGTCATTAAATGAGTCACACCCAATTTTATGACCTATTTTGCCAAGGTTGTTAAGCAAATGCAACTTTCTCCATTGACTTTGTTTGTTGGAAGCTGTCTGGGAAAGTTGCAAATGGTGATCATGTGATTGTGGGGATGTGTCAATGGTCATAAGTGCAAGAACCGATTGTAAATCACTTTTTTCAGCTCTGTCCTAACTTTGAACAGTTGCTAAATGAACGATCATAAATCGAGGAGTACTTACTGTCTTTTAACTATGTACTGTGCACTGTCTTCTAGCTTGTACTATCTTTTACTTATGTTCCCGAGCAATAAATTTTGTATAAGCATATAAATACATTTGTACTGTGTATAAGGAGCCCACATGATTTCTGAATGGCACTTTGCAAAACACAGATCTTTGTGTTTTATATACGGGTAGTCCTCAACTTACAACCATTTGTTTAGTGACTGTTTCAACAGCACTGAAAAAAGTGACTTTACAACTGTTTCTCACACTTACGACCATTGCACGTGATTACGTGATCAAAATTTAGACACTTGGGAACCAGCATGTATTTATGACAGTTGCAGTGTCCTGGGGTCGTGTGATCCCGTTGTGACCTTCTGACAAGCAAAGTCAATGGGAAAGCCAGATTCACTTAGCAACCAAGTTACTAACTTAACAAACTGAAGTGATTCATTTAACAACTGTGGCAAGAAAGGTCGTAAAATGGGGCAAAACTCACTTAACATCTGTCTTGCTTAGCAATGGAAATTTGAGGCTCATTTGTGGTCGTACGTCAAGGACTACCTGTAGGCAGAGGCATCTGTGAAAACTAGGCCATGGAGGACAATGATTAGCGTCCAGGAAAAAAAGGCATACCTGCAGCAGCAGCAATGAATCCAACAGAAGCTCATCAGTTGCCATCTCTGACTTTGTAACCACCAAGATTGTCAATTAGGTGTCCCAGATAATTTGTACATCAAGATTTGTGTCAGGAAAAAACAGAACCCACAATTTTAAAAGTAAATGAATTTCAGCTATCTCTACAATGAACTGTGGAATGAGGCAAAGATTTTGTCATCTAAAATGTGAAATATCTTCAAGCGATGGTTAGCAGGGTGTAAAGAGGGCCTCAGGAGTCTTGTTTTGTTATTGTTTGTTTGTTCTTGAGTATAAAATATGTTCTCTGTTTGCTAAATTATAAACTGCTCCTTTGACTTCTAATTTTTAGTATATGAGATTATATGTGTCTTGTTTTTTTTTTCTTAAAGATCATCCAGACAAAGTAATTTCTCTATCAACTTCTGGGGGGAAAAAAGGTAAGCGATTTTTTTTTGAGCTAGTGGATACATTTAGAATTTAAAATGAAAAGAGCTGCTACTGGGGAGATTGGCTGTGGCTTCTTAAGACTTGGTGTTGTCCTCCAGGAAGTCATCTTAAACCCAGGTTGTTTGTGTCTTTCGCTTATGCACAAGAGTCAATACTTCCAATCAAAACAATAACCTGAGGCGACTCACCATTTTTTTTCCTGAGAATTCTACTTTTCATTTAATTTTAAACGATTTGTTTTCTTTTAAAAAAAAAGATGGGTCAGGGAGCTTAGCATGCACTAGAGCAGTGGTGGCGAACCTATGTATGCGTGCCAGAGGCAGCACTCAGAGCCCTCTCTGTGGGCACACGCGCCATGCCCTGGAGATGGCAACCGTCCCTCTTCAACCAGCTGCCTGCTAACTCGCTGAGGTCCTATGTGGCTGGATGCATCCCAGCACGCATGCGCTCGCTGGCCTCTGGGTGCAGGGGTCGATGATGTCAGGCAGCAACCGCCCCAGCCCCTGCCTCACCTTGCCCTGTGACAATGGCACCCCCACCCTACCTCGCCTTGCCTTGCCTTGCCTCACCTCGCAGGATGAGCCTCCTGCCCATCGCCCACCAGAGACCCCCTGGATCTCCCCCAACCCTGCCCTGCCCCCACAGGCGTCCCTCCCCACGAGCAACATTGAGGTGATCACGCCCACCTTGGCCACACTCACCCAATCTGCCATGACCACCACAGCCACGCCCATCCAGTGGGCCACACCCACCTGGCACCTGGCAATAAATAAGTGGATTTTGGGTTGCAGTTTGGGCACTCGGTCTCTAAAAGGTTCGCCATCATTGCACTAGAGGAAGGCTCTATGAACACTCTGATGCTCACCAGAATATTTTTTTATCCTATTTCAGTATTCTGTCCCTAAAGTCTTTTTTTTTTGTTTAGAAAGAAGCAAATATTCTTAATTCTCAACCAAAACTCTACAGGAAGATGCACACACTCCTGCTTTATGGGGTGGACTCTGACATGAAACTCCTGAGGAAAAATATTTATGATATTCCACTATATCTTTTGCCAAATCCTGGTGCCATCCAGATGTGGCACATTACAATTCCTGTCAGCCCTTCATTGTTATGGCATGATTTATGGGGTGATGGGAGTTGTAGCCCAATACATTTGGAAGGCACCTGGTGGGCAAGTCTTTTCTATTCTCACTCCCTATAATTCCTTCCTCCCTATGTGAGTAAAATTAGAGGTAGCAAAATATTGGTGTGAAAAATTTGCTTGGGCTCTGTCAACTTCTGATGCTTTTAACATTTACAGTGTTTACTATTATAAATCCTGAGAGTCAGTGTTTTCTGACATGGCCAATGGTGAAGGATTAATCTTTTTGATTGTCCTCTCTGACATATTTATGGCACAAACATGTCCTTATACCTTCCTTTTCCTACAATGTCCTCTTCATCTCATCCCCAACCCAGGTCAGACAGATGCCATGTTTCTGTATTGATAAATTAATGTTTCCCCCTTATGCTGACAGCATATGAAGGGGGCCTGAACGTAAGTCAAATCTGTCCAGGAGGGCAGAAGTGTCCAGCCTTGATAACTTTAAGATTTGTGGACTTCAACTCCCAGAATTCCCCAACCAGCATGGTCCTCTGGAAATTCTGGGAGTTGAAGTCCACAGGTCTTAAAGTTGCCAAGGCTGGACACCCGTTTTACAGGGAAATCAGAAGGCTTGGGAACAGAACATAAGAGTCTATTACAAGCCACGGTCCCTTCAAAATGATATGTGTATCATGATCATCATTGCCCAAATGATACATTTATGAAGTATGATACAATTAGATCACATTATTCGAGAGATGACTTCATGACGTAAGGATAGGATTGGTCATGGAAAATGGAAATGTCATATTGGGTGTAGTTTTACAGACTCAAGGATTGGATGGATGGATGGATGGATGAATGGATAGCACAAGCAGCGGGGGGACAGGCTATGCTGTAGTGTGGGACCATAACTTGTAGCATGGCATATATTTGGCACACAGAACATGTCATCTTTAAATCTTGATATTTTCAGGTAGACCTAGTGACAGATGAACAACGGTTTTCTGCTACATTCACATGTAGATTAACTCTAAATCTAGTTATTTATCTGCCAATATCATTGCTTGGAGCACGAGAATTGCTCCCAGCCAAGGATTTCCAAGCACTGTAGACCAGCTGCATTACACTCGAATCTACCAACCTTTGTCCCAGTGCTCAAGGTAGCATTATGTTTAATATACAGGCCTCCAAGTTCGCCTGTAAAATGGATTGGGGAAAGAAACAATGATTGGCTCAAAGTTGCCTGATGGGTTGTACAGTTAAACCAGGATTAAACACAAGTCTTTATCCAATCCTTTGATCACATTGGCTCACTAGATGCAGAGAGGCACAGGCTTTACCTGTTGCCTTTCTGCCTGCCATAGAATGAGGACAAGCTTAGTTTTTGCTTCTCTGTGGTTGGATGAGCTAGGAAACCGCAGGGAGGAAATAAATAAATCACTAGTGAGGACCGGTTGCTGCTGAAAAATGCCTGGAGGGCTCTTATAAGTGGGGGGGAAGGGGGGAAAAAGAAGGTGTTGTGTGGGGGCCAGGCCAGGTTTCCCATCCCTCCATCCTTCGTTCAGTTTGGCTGCGGGGGAAGCAACCGACTGCTGCTAATGGGAAAAAAATCTTGACGTGTTTCTTTTTCTTCTTGTGAACACTGCGGTTTTGAGTCCTCTGCTAATTTTACAGGCGGTGTGATTTCATGCAGAGTTTTTAACCAAAGCTGGGTTAAGGGCAGGTGGGGGGAGGGGAGCAGTCACAACGCTACATACACGCACGCACACACACTTCTGTCTCCAGAGCCTTGCTGATTTTGGCCGGCTTGCACAAACCGCAGGCACCTTGGGAGAGTTAGCAAATTGTGTGTCCTTTGCAAGCCCCGGAAAGGCGGGGAGGGGGGGGAAAGGAGACCCGGGTTTTTATAGGACGTGGTTTCTCCTTCTGTGGGGGTTGATGGCTCACTCCCCCCCCCCATAACCCCTTGTTTTCTTAGCAGACAAAATCCCTCCCAGGATGCATCGATCAGCGAGGAAGGCCGACGGAGAAAGCCTCCCACTTCTTCCAAATTTAATCCTTACCTAAGTTCCCGAGGGAAATGAGCAAGCTGGGAGATCGGCCGGTGGGGGGGGGGGAAGGGGGAGAGGTCAAGGTATTTTCAGCCGCGCCGGTGGATGTGTTTATCCCCAGAAGAGTTTTCCACAACAGGCTATTAGGAGATCGGGAGAGGTCATGATCATCCTCCACTTAATTCTAGCTTGGAGGATTTTATTTATTTCTTGTTTAAAAACTGCGATGACTTTTACTGGGCGGGGGGGGGAAACCCACTCCGCGTCAATCACTGTGCCAGAGTTCTGTGATGGGCGGGGCCCGAACAAGCATTCGCTGACCAGAATATGCCCGCGCGTAAAGTCAGTCCGGCACCACGAACATCCGGGTCTTCCACAGCCCCTCTGTCTGTAGCTCCCTTCGCCTCGCCTTGTTTGGTCTCTTGCAATTAGGCTTCCCAGAAAAGAATCCCATTACAGAAAATCAAATGGTGAAATTTTCCTCAGGGATGAGCCCCCGAGTTGAGCTCTATCGCTCTAGAACTCGTGTCTGCTGGGCAACAGATGAAGATATAGAATTGCTATTAGAGTATGGGGGAAGCCATGTTTGAAAAAGCAGGAGGGCGGGAATGACGACAAAGTTGCCATAATTTAACCATGTTTTATTCAACGACTCCAACACACTGAGCCATTAGCTACCTCTATTGGAGGGTTCACACAACTTAACCAACATAGATTTGGACAGGGTAGGAAACTTACACACTTCTCTGAGGCAGGTGTTCACTTTGTTTTGTTTTTAATCCTCACTGAGGAACCACATCAAGCTTCAAGCAAGTAGGACAGCAGAAGGAGACATGTTTACCTTCTTTATCATATGGTGGATCTTATCTTTTTTTGTTTCATTGGAATTGTAATCAATTTTTTAATTCCCTTTCTCCAGTTTTTCATATATATTATACTTACAGTATCAAAAGTTCAGACAGCAAATTATGATGACAGTGTATCAAATAAGGTGAAATATTGCAAGAATGAAATAAGTTATTAATTTAGAAGGTTATTATTTTGACTTCTAGCTCCCCAAAAGCTGTTTTAAAAAGAAGTTCATGAGGCTCCATCATAGTGGGATAGAGAATCTCCTCAAGAAACAAGTCTCTCTCTCTCTCTCTCCTTCCCTCCCTCCCTATCTCTCTCTCTCTCTCTCTCATACACACACACACACAAACAAACACACACACACACACATCTTTCTTGAGCCTCTAATGGGCAATAATGACAACAGGGAGACAAAGGAAAGATTTTCAAAATGTCAATGGGTCTGAAAAGTCACAAATTTAGTGCTTGAGGAAGACAGAGGACCTATGATGGTATGCTTGAGGTACTGTAGATGATCCAAATGGAACTTTTCCATAGTTGTTCAGCTTCATAAAATAACACAGAGATGATCTCAGCTGAATTACTTCACTCTGCTTCTTCGTAAATTCAACCTTCTACCATACATGTGGAAGATTTTTTTTCCCTATTTTGAAAGAAAATGCTGCTACATTAGCTTGGACTTCTTAAAGCAGGGGTTGGTAACATCACATTTTAAAGCTGCATCCAGTGTTTTTTTTTTTCCACTCTTTTAGAGGCCCCCTCCAACCTCTACCAGTCAAAATTGTTGACAATCAGTTTTTTTCCACCCAGATGATGGAACTACCATGTTGAGGTAGCTTAAGCCTTAACAGGGGCTTTATGTCACTGTTTCCAATCAAAGACCTGCCTGCCTCCATAAGAGTAAACCCAAATAAACTATAATAAGCCAACCTGGCAATTTAGTCACTTTGTGGTATTCCCCTGTTTATTGCAGCATGCCCCCTCCTTCCAAATCATA